TATATATATATATATATATATTTAAGTGTTACACATGTAAATACATAAATATTGAAGTAAATCTGAAGTTTAACATTTCAATTTAGGTTGAGTTTTGTATGTAAATCTCTCAATAGAATGAGATGTTATGCATGTAAATACATAAGTATTAAATCATCTGGATGTATTTTTTTAATGGGATGAAGTGTTATACATATAAATACACAAGTATGAAACAATGTATATAGAGTTATTATAAGAGTTGAATAGTATGTATGTAAATCTCCCAAAACCTAGTGTTACATATGTAAACTCATAAGAATCGTTGGTATGCATCTAAATCTCCCAAGTGTAAGTGTAATCTATGAGTTTTGGGAAGAGTGCTGCATTGGCTTGCTTGTTAAAAAAAAGGCGGCTGAATTTCTGGTGACCACCACTTATAAAGTTTGGAGAAAGAGGTTGATAAAAATATGCTTGGGAAAGTTATTATATGATTACGGTTAAGTAGTTGCACTTTGAACACTCAAGATACAGCCGCAATCTAATTAATGGCTAGTGAGCACTTAAAACACCTAAGTTGCATTGATGATTTGGCCTCATAAGAAAAAGTAAAAGAAATAAAAAAAAAGTAGGTCTTTAGATGAAATGCGATATTGGACTATGAAACATTGAGTCAACAGAATTTTAATTATGCATGAGTGGATGGATATGAGTTTGGTTTCAAGTTATTCTTGATTTTATTGTGACAAGCAAAGCTTGTTTTTCTTTCTTGATTTTACTTCGACGAACTAAAATTTAAGGGGGCGTTTGGTTGCAAGTAGGATTTAAGTTAAATAGGAATCTGGATTTATCAAATCTAAATATTGTTAATCCAAAATAATGTTTGGTTTATCCAGTTAAATCCATTTAATGTATTTGGCAAAAATCTATTTAAAATATCTTTTCCCTGCACTAAATCCCTTGAATCCAACTAATAAGCGAATTTAATAAATCCAAATTTAATAAACGGAACAAGCAAAAATTGGATTTAACTTAACAGCAAATGTATCTAACCAATTTATGATGCTTGGCTGGATTTAGGTTTAATCTAACTCAAATCCTGTTAAAAGTATGATACTAAAAAGAGAATGATTCAAAGTGGATTTGGAAGTTTTCTAGGGTCCTTTCAAATCCCTAAATGAGAAAATAGGGTATTTAAACCTAAACAAAAGCATATGATGTATCACTTGAAATTTGAAAATGAAAATAGAAAACAAATGCATGGAATGAATAGTTTCAGATTACCCTGTTGCTGCATCTTTCTTGTATGCGGATCCGACCAAGAGAAGAGGACTGCCTGCGAGTCGACCAAAAGAGGAGAATATCGCGTGCGAAACGATCGGAACTCGAGCGGATGGAGGGAGAAAGGACCCTCGCGAATCGGACGGAGAAGAGATTGGGGCCGGAAAGACAGATCCGGGATAAAAGGAAGTTCGTGTCGATGACTATTTATAGCTAGAAAGCAATGTTAGTGGAGGGAGTTGGCACCCATCAATGGTGTGCTGATGTGGCTTGCCAAAGCTGGCAAAAGCTGGTCGTTAAAGTCCACCTCAGTTGGTTCTGATGGGCTACTTTGGTGTTCTTGAGGTTGAGGCGGGAAGGTAAGAAAAAAATCTTAGTGTTTTTTTAAATAATTATGGGTGAGACTATTTTATTTTATTATTATTATTATATCTTTTAATTAAATTGGGCCATTTAATTATTATTTATTTTCTATATTTTTTATCTATTTAATATTAATATTAATATTATTATTATTATTATATTTTTTAGAACTTCTTTGTTAACGTTCGAATTTAAATTTTGTATTATGTGCCTCTTTTTTTATATTTTAATTTAAATTATATATATATATATTTTTTATTAAATTTTAGTTTGAATTTGATGTAAAAATTTTATATTATTTTTTTATTTATTTCAATTTTATTTTGAGTTTATATTGACTGATTTATGTTTTTTTTTAGTTCAATTCAAATTATTTTGGAATTTGGATTAACAACATTTCAAGTTTATTTTATCTATTATTCTAATTTTGTATTTGGATTTAATTAAACCATTTTTTTATTAAAATTGTTGAAAAAAAAAGTTAATTAAGAATTTATTTAAGTCTTTTCAAAATTTAATTTTTTTCTTGGGATTTTCTTATTTAAATGTGGTTCCCTTTATTGATTTTGGTCGGAATCTAAACATTTTTTAGTTTGATTTATGATTTTAACTCCAAATTTAGCCCAATTTTTTTTTCAATCAATTAATTCTTTCGTTTTCATTTCAATTTAAATTCAATCATGGTTTCAAATGAACTCCAAACATATTTGAGTTCATCTTAAACCAAAGGTATGAGTTAAGAGAAAAGGTTAAGCCTAACTAGGTGGGTCCCATAGAAGCAAAAGTGCTCAAATCTTAATGTCAAGTTTCTAAGTTCAATGGGTTGCCTAAAGATATGTTATAAAACCTATAGAAGTAATCAACATTGATACTAATAAATCAACTTCAATCTACTTAATACTAAAATGTTAAAGATTAAAATCAAGTATATTTCAAACTAAAAGGAGTGAAGATTTAGTTTAGGTTTTAATTTTAGGTTACAATCATTATTTAATATATTAGGGTAGCCTCTAAGGAAAACTTAAGACTAGATCCTAAGATATAAAGGAATAAGAAGAGATATAAGAAGACCTCACCAAAAATGAGATCACCAAGCACAAGGTTATGTACAAATAAAATTCCATGCATGTAGTTAACAATTCTTTATTTTTAAAGAACAATATGAGCCAAACTTAAACATATAAGGCAATGATCACTATCCTTAGAATTAGAGAGTACATCATTTGAACTATAGCTCCTTGAAAATTTTGTGCTAAGTTTGTTTGATAACATTGATATAGTATTTGTTCATTTGTGAAATTCAAATACATCTAAAAGTTCTTAATTAGATTAATGCAACAGAAGTTGCTCTAATCATGAAATACTTTTATTTCTATTTTTTTTTATTTTTTTAAATATAATTTGTATATTTTAATAAATGTTAGTTTTAAATTTTGGAAGGTTTGTGTGTTTTGAAAGTTTGAGAGTTGACTAGTGATAGATAACTGACTTTGATAAGAGATTGCATGTTAGGTTTAGAGGACTTAGTGGCTTTTCATTTGTGAGTGGCAACTACAAGATTGAATGGGTAACAATAAGGAGATGCTAAGGGGATAATTTTAAAGGAAGACTTTGAGTTGTGAAATATTAGGGAGATGTCAAGGAGATAATTTTATAGGAAGACTTTGATTTTTGTAGTGATAAAAAGATTTTTTAGATATAGATTTTATAGGGGTAGAACTATTTGCAGCATTGGGTTGAAACCATGATATATCGTGGCTCATTTAACGAGTTGGTTGAATTTGGTAGTGGATTATTGATAAGATCTCTCAAGGATAGCTTTAGGTAAACTTGGCCAAGGAAATATACAGTTTGATGTACAGTGAAGGTAGTATTGAAGATTAAATATTTCAAACATTCAATTTAGTTCCCTTGGTCCAGTGTGACTGGGTTGGTTCAGGTCCTTGGCAACAAGTTAGTATGCCCTAAAAAGAGGTTTGATATTCAATTTAGGGTTCATGATTTTTTCATCATGTAAACCTCATTGATGGGAAGGTGAGGCATTCAACAAAATTTTGTATTTTTTTTTCAAGATTTGTATCTAGTTTTAGTATTTTTTAGACTATTTTGAATGACATTTGGATATTTGATATTATTTTAGTGAATAATATTAGAAGGATACATGATGCATGTTAATCAGAAGAATATGATTATTGGAATACAAACTAAATTTTCTAGGCATTTTTTTATTTTTCACAATTATTAGTATAGAAAATTTAGAGGCATTTTTAAAAATTTATAAAATGGCATGGAATTAATGAAAATTAATTGTTGGAGAGATGTGAAAATATATTCAATAAATTTGAAGCATGAAATTGAAAAAAATATGCACAAAATAAGAAAGCCACATAAAATACAAAGAGCACGAGATTTAACACGAAAGAAACCCAAGAATGGGAGAAAGTCATGGAGCTACACCACACTATGAAGTCTATTATGAAGAACATGAGAAGAGTTGTACAAATTACACGACACTCAAGACTCTCCACACTTTGGAACACTTCAGGATACCCATTCTCTTCTTTGCATAAGGGAAAACTTGAAATCCAATTTTTCATTGCACTACCTTTCCATAGCGAAGCCAAGACTTTAAGTGAAAACAACCTGAATTTGGTTATTCGTGCTAGCGCACTGTGATAGTGGCATTGCAGTGCTCCTATGCGACACTATTTTGTGCAACATCCAATCAAATCAGTGTCGTGCACTCAAAGTTTTGACCCTGGACTAGGCATTATAGCGTTACAGGTCTTGGTGTTGGAGCACTACAACTGGATGTTGTGGCGCTCACCTCCAAGAGCTAAAATGTTTTGGTTCTTGGGTTCTTAATCTATAATAAGCACGACGGTGTTGGGGCATTGTGTATGGTAAAAGTTTTTTACAACAGCAGTGCCTCTAAACCCAATATATGGGGTATGCATCCTTATACCCCCAACAAACTTACTATCAAACTTAATCGAAGAAGCTGAGAACTTTGAGCGACCAATTGATTAACACTGTCAAACTTAATAAGGATTGTTTAGGTTTGATTCTAGATTATTTTAAGTCCTCTAAACTCATATTTTCTCCATTTGAGTTGACTCCTTATTACATTGATTATAAAGGGTTCACTCAATTGACTTTACATTCATCCTTTATCAACTTTCACAATTTGTTGAAATCTTATTTCCATGTTCTTATCATCTACAACCCTATGAGGACAACTTAACTAAGACTATTAAAAAGTGGGACCCACAATTGGAACATAAATTGAATTTGCAACTGGAAACTAACCTTTTTCAATCAATCCATTTGAGCAAAATCCTCATCAAGGACCATAGATCAATGTACATCAATCTCAAAAAGCTCTGCTCTAATCATCATTAATTACTCAGGAATCATCTTAAGTTTTGAATTAACAATAAATTACATAGTTGAATTATATTAAAATTAAGAACAGTTTGGAGTCTTTTTGGATCCACTTATCGGACTTATTGAACATGTCCAAACTCTCCGAGTGCACCTCACTCATCATGTCTGTTCAAGAGCTTAACTTGTAAAATAATATTAAAAAAAGAAAAAAAATCCAAGAAGTTTTAAGATCTTAAAAGATAAAGACATAAATTTATCAGTGAAATTGAAAGGGTTTCATAAGCATGTGAAAAATCTGAAATGCTACTGATTCAAACTCAAATTCTAGATCATAATTTGGGATCACAAATGAAAATTGGGGAAAAAAATAACCCCTCCTTTCAAATGGTATTGAGAAGTATCAAGAAATAAAGCTTCTGCCTTTCAAAACAATGACAAAAAAATAACAAAGTTATTAATAAAAAATTAAAGTGGATTCATAAGGATGTGGGAAATTTATAGATTTATCAAACAAAAGGAAAAAGTACATACCATAATTGGGATTACAGAAGAAATTAAGAAAAAAGTCATGTTTCTCTCTCCTTATTTTCTCTTTCCACCATTTATTCAAATAGTGTTGATAATTCACAAGAAACAAGATTGCTGCACTCGAAACTATGCCAAAAGAGTTAAACAATTTAGTATAAAAAATTAATTTTTTTTCAAAAGCAAAATAATATAAGACCACAAAAACTTTGTAGTTAGAAGAAAATGCAAAGGCATCGATTTTTTTATGTCACACTTTTGGGCGTCCATTCAAGCCATTTGGGGTCATATTCTACTCATGCGTAGTGTCTCATAGCCCGAAGACATCCATTTAGACTCCTTGACATGTGTTTTGGACACAAAGGTGGAGATATGCCTGGGTTCACCCGCACCCTGCCCTAGCGCATCCACGCGCCAAACTTATGTTTGGCACCGCCGCACTATTAGGCCAACGCACCCACACATGCGCCAGAGTAGTGCTGCCCCCATGTTAAAAGACAACAAGCATGGCAAACTTGTTCCCATAGATCGACATACCCATTCTATTATCATGGCACATCCACATCCGGTAAACTGGCACCCATGTGTCAGGAGGTTGGTGCACTCGTTTTAAGCTTGACTAGGGCTAGCACACTTATGTTACGATCTTGGCACACTCGTACCAAACCCTTTTTTGCTCCAATTTTGTTGGGCTCTCTTGGCCGAACCAAGCCACTTAGGAGCCATTACTTGCATTTAAATTAGTATAAAATGTGTCCATAAAAGAGGTGTAGCCACTTGCCTAACGGTGTTTCCCTCCATTCCATTCAACCACTTTAACCTAAAGAGAGCTAATTTTTAGAAGGGAGTGCAGAAATTATGGAGGAGACCAAAGGGAGAGCTTGAGTAGAGCCTTAGGAGAGTTCTCTAGGGAGTTTTTTTAGAAGTAATTTTTCTTCCCAGATTTTCTTCCTTCTATCCACCTTCTTCATCCATATTTTCTTTTTCTCCTCCATCATTTA